GAAAGGAAATTCAAAAGACTAGCATATCTTCTTAAAAGACATCAGGAAATACTATAAAGTGAATCTGGTAAAGAAAAAGAGAACTGAAGTAGAGCAAGAAGACATTAAAATCCACTTTATTTGCTTAGAATACTTATTTGCACGTTTTGCATTTATTTGTTCTTGCAGAAGACGCATGCGATTCCTGTTTCGTGTGGGAAGCCGTTAGCTGTTGCATGCATTTAATGCATGTGTGAAATTGAATAGAAGGTGACACATGCGGATATAGTCTTTTAGGTGCTAGCCATTTGTAGTTCGCACGGCGAACACTACGAGCACATAGGGATGTTGCCGGATGTTGGGCGAATTAGGCGTCTGCCGTCGAGTTTTCGCTAAGAGATGTTTGTTGCAGTCACTATCACTGCTAGCGAAAGGGCGCTCCAGTGGAAAATCGGGAATTTCATTATCAGAAACGGCGGAAATACATTTAAGCAGCAAACGCAATCTGTTTCATTTTCTTTGATACGGAGCTCGATATACTACACTGCACAACTTTTCTGCATCGAGAGGATCGTGCTTGCAAGGAAAATATGAAACCTGTTGAATGATGCTACGAGCTTTCTAATGGAGGAACTTACGGAGTTTCTGTAAGTGGCGAATTTTTTTCCTACTTCTGACCCATGTTCTATCTTTATACGTCGAGGAATTATTTTAAATGCAGGACTTGCTACGCGACTTGTGTTGCGACAACGATAACAGAGCATATGTTGCTAATAAGCAATGTTTAATATTAAAACATCGATCTTAATAATACTTCGACCAAAAAAATGGAAGTTCGTCGATGATCTAAAGCTGCTTTATTAATCTCTGACATTAAATTGGTGCGCAACAAAATTTAATTTGTAATGGTCAGTTTATTCTTATACAATGAAGTTTTAATTTGAGAAAACCAAGTAAAACAATAATACTGGAAAAAGCTAAGCGGTAAAGTCTGAATACCCTGCGTCATGTCAAAAATGTCGGTCCTCCGTTGGAAGCAAGGGGGAGGCCGTAAGCCTAGGGCGCATGCGTTGACAGCCGCTCCACGTGTGAAATGCATGGAAAGACAGGAAGCACCAGGGCAGGGGGAGACACAATCTGACAGTACAATCAGTTATTTTATATTTTAACTTTTTCGAATTGTGGTCACGGGGACTTTCCTTCTTCAAACTGAACATCGAATACGAAGCATCAATGTTTTTATGAAAACGTAGACATCGATGTCGCATCCCCACGGTTTGTGGCGTAGAACGGGAGTGGTCGCTATCTCCATATTAATTTCCCGTTGGATGTGAAGCAGGGCCCCTGGCGGCCCCAGGACTCGACGACCTTGCCCCCGAGTGCAAGTGCTGAGTCGTGTCTCTTTCCCAGCGGTTGGCACACTGCGCGCTGCCGCCGCCACCTCCGCCTCCGCCTACACCTCTGCCGGGGATGTGCCTCGACAAGCCTTTTTTTCCTCCTGTAACATATTGATCTCGCGCTTTCGGCGTTGCGAGCCGCTCATCTCCGGATGGGCGACGTGGCAACACCGCTCTCGTCCGTGTGTTGGTAAACAAGCGAGCACGCCGCTCGCGTCCCCGCTCGCGTCCCCGCTTGCACCTAGTACTACACTCCGTGGGTGTCCCCCTCGAGGGCTTCCTTCCGACGGGGTGCTGACGCAATGTATGGGCGATTTTTGGTGTTAGCACAGTTACCCAATCTCCTGTAATATTGCGTAGTATCTGCCTATGAGAAATAGAGCAAAAGCTCAAGTAGAAGTACTTAAGTGCGTGTTTACAATAATCACATACACTTAGAATCTGTATATCGTTTAAATTATCTCAGTTGTTTCCTTCTTCATTAGTCTGTTTTTCCCCAAAAGTATACAGTTTTCAAATAAGTAGATCATCGCGATCACAAAATCTATTTATATTGGTCCAGAAAATAGGAATGATTGCTTTAATATTAGAATTAGAATTATTAAAAATATTGTAGTGTAATCGTTTCATCTTATTTTAAAAATCTGTTCTAGTTGCAGAAAAGCATTTTCCGTATTTTTAGTGGGGATCTAATAGATAATATTATATTTCTTGGTGTTAGCAAAGTAACCCAGTCAATACCATTACGTTCTGAATTCTAGTTACGGTAGGCTGTAATAGAGAATGGCGAGTTCAGGGATATTAATATGCATTAGGACTGAACAAGTATATCTCCAGAATATAAACAAAACACAAGAAATAATAGTTTTAATTATTCTTACAAGTTTATTGAAAATTCGACACTTATTTGTACTAACACACGAGGCTAGGATTTTTAGAAGTCCTTAAAAATTGTGGAGCCATATTTTAGGCATCTTCGAAAATTAACTCTTTATTCAATCTTTAAAGAATTATCTCTCTTTAACGTATGCGAAATTCTATTAAAGGATTCTACGATAGTTTTGTAGTAGCGGAGAGACGACAAAGAAACGAAGTTGTCAGAGATTTCTTGGTGAATTATTATAAAACAACACAGAATTACATGTTCACTCGATTACTAAATGAAACTGGCGCAAATTTATGAGAGAATAACGTTGTCTTCCCAGAAGAACCGAAATGAAAAACTGAAAAGGGATGCTGTTTGCCCATTGCTGCTAAGAGTAATTCCACGAACTGGCTTCCTGTAATTTCAATTAAAATGTTTCAATTATATGTTCAATTAGTATTCAATAAATTGTTTTTATATTAAATATTTTTGTTAATTTAATTCGTGAGAATTCGTTAATTTAACTCGTGTTACTCGAAATGATACTTTACTATTGAACCCGTCTTACAGGCACTTACCGATTTACAATAGAAGTCGCGTGTAAACATTATGGGAACGTGTTACTGATGGCGTCCTTAACACCGTTCGGCAGTATTACTTGTTCCATTTTACCAACATACAACTTATATTACTTGAGAATATTAAATGGGTAATTTCTTCAGTGGGATATTTTTTGGGGGTGGGGGAGAACTTGAATTAATTACCCCACTTAATATTCTTTCATTCATTACAATTTGTTCTTTACATAAAGTTACGCTTCGTATCGCGAACGATTAAGAGACTTCCTTACTTCGTATTGGAACGATTAAGAGACGTGTCTCCATTTTACCCGGTAAAGTTAACTTCCTTCCTGAACATTCGGATATGTAAGGTAGTGTTGGACTAGTGTCACTGCAAATTAAATCGATTCCAACCGAGATATATTCTATAATATGATATATTACTATAGTTATATATATTATATATTATATATATAAATTTCACATTTTCTGGAAGTGTTTAAAATACATTTTTTTACTAATCGGTAAATGGTTAAAAACAAACAAAAACGATTCTTCCAAGAATATTAACATCACCAAAGTGCGTTAAAGACCACTCTAGGGGCATGTGATTTGGTTATGGTGTTCTAAACGATTGCAAAATCTGACTAATAATTTTAAAAATAGAAATTACGTGATTTTTAAAACAGAGCATGTATACTCTTAGATGTGCCTAGGAATGTTGGAGCCGTAGAAGTTGGAGAATTTTGCTAATTCTCCTGGAAAAATATTTAATGAACATATAGTGAAGAACATGAAGATTTACTTAAAGGAATCAGTGTAATTGTATTAATTCTAATAACAAATTAATCCGTAAGTAAATTAAACTTTAAAAATGTCTCAATATTTTAATTTTAGAGCTTTTTTTCAGTTAATAGATGAGCCATTTACTGAACAAATCAAAGCGTAGTTTGCCTTCGAAATTTCATAGTTGTTGAGCAGTTGACTGACATAAATTGTTTGTGGGAGCTGTTTTTACTTTTAAACTACAAACAAGTTATTCTGAAAGAGTGTAGAAATTTTGTATTGGAAATCTTAATTTGCGAATTCGAAATCTTGGGATAGTCAATTTTGAAATTGCAAATACGAACAGTTGGGAAAAATCATTCGAATAGAGAGTAGGATCTGAGTGATACAACAATAGTGTGGGCGAAAATAGTTGACAAAATCCTGATTAAAATAGGCGTTTTATTGGGAGACTTGCGTTTTCCCCCAGGTGCCTTGGATGCAATGGACCTTGGCCGGTGTAGGACCTTGGCATGAAAGCGGGTCATGGGGATTGGGCGGGCGCTCGCTCGCCTGTCCGTCGCACCGGGCGCCTTCCTGCTTCCTCTCGTCTTGGCCTCGGTTTGCCATGCGTCGCCTGCTTGCTCTTTTTCTCTTCTCCTCTCGTGTCTTGACGCCCCCCTCCCCCCCCCCTCCGCGACCCGAGCCCTGCGGCCGTGCGCCGCCGCCCACCTCTCCTCTTTTCATTCCCTTCCCCTCCCCTCCCCATCCCGCTGCGACGACCCCCACCAACCCGCTCGCCACGTGCTCGACGGGCGAGAGTGAGCGCGAGCGCGCCCGCCCGCCAGCCGCCGCTGCCCGCCCACCGCACGCAGTCACGGCCGCGCACGTGGTCGTCGGCGCACTTTCGGGAGTAGGGTAAAGTGCCCGCCCCCTTGTCGGAATTTTCTCGTCTTTCCTCTTTCCCCTGTTTTAATGCAAATTAAATTGTGGCTACGTTGGATCTTTGGATCCTTCTTAACGCAAGAAAAATTGCGTGGTTTGAGAAAATGTGTAAAATTTCATATCACAACATATCTCGTGAATTTTTCTAGGAACGATTAGCTTTTCGGGGCTTTTCGGGACATTTAATGTTTGTTAGTACGTGCATTAATTAAATTCCTGTGGAGACTAGCAGGTGTAGTCACATCAGTGGGACATTTGTGGCGAATAGTCTCGCAAAACATGTTAACGAAATGTAAATTTAGCAGTAATAGTTAAAGTGTAATAGTGACACGCTTAAGTGTCGGTACGGTGTCCCTCCATCTGGGCCAGTAGTACTCTGGCACCCGTCGTTCAGTGTGCGAGAATTGGCCTGGTTGATTTGAATGCACGATAATGGAATAAATGAAAGTAGGAGGAGCCTGTTCAAACTCATTATTTGGCATGTTCCAGAATTTAATAACGTTCTTTATGTGCGTATTATGAGACAGGAGCGCCCAACTGCGACTCTAATGAGCTCATGTAGCATTAAATAACTTGCTTCAGTGGCATCAGGGTGAAGTTCGAAATAAAGTTTCAAAATGCTTCACGCTTGTCGCGATGTACATTCATTAACTCATTGCGACATGTGGATCGACGTGAGCCAATTTCACTTCCGTATCGTTATTGAGGTAGTCAGTTGCACCTGCCTTCATATTGTAACACACCGAATGTATACGGGGTGTTCGGGGCTCTTATTTTAAGCATATTTTGTCGCGTAAACTATTTGGATATCCCGAATGTCTGAACCGCAATTAACAGTAAAAAAGTAGGTTTGAAAGAATGTTTTGGACGCAAATATGTGCATTTCAGATGTGTATAAACACTTCAGAAACATGGAAATTGTTTAATATTTACAAAAGAAATTATTATATTTGTTCAGAAAGAAACATTTTTCACAGAAATTAAAAAAAGCACCCAATTTACACAATACGACTGCTCTTTCATTTCTGGGTTAATTTTTCTTTCCGAACAAATATAATTTCTTTTGTAAATAATAAATAATTTACATGTATCTTGAGTGTTTATATGCTTCTGACATGGACATATTTGTCCGGAAAACATTCTGTCAAATCAACTTTGCTCAAGGCGTGTATCCGTAAATAGCTCAAGGTTTGTTAAGTTTCAATTTTCATTGCGTTTCATTGCAGTATTAATTTTTTTTGCTTCATGCCTTTAATAAAAAACTTAAATTAGGATTCTGTGTTGAAGGATTGAAAGTGCGGAGCTAGTCTCGCAATGTTTGGTTGTTTTTAATTCATGTTAATGATAATTTATGATTAGGGTATGAGGAATTGGTTCATTTCACTGCGATTTGTATTTTATGCATGGAATTATTGTGATTTACAACTATCATTGATTGCAATACAGAGGCGAAAGCCTAGTGAGATTGTTTTGAATTATAATGATGAGTATCACATTGGAAGAGAGGGAGAGACGAAAATATCAAATATAAATGAATATCAAATGCGCTCTTTAGCGTACCTTGTTTGAGTAGTTGTCGAACATGGTGTAGGAGCTTTTAAATTAGGTTTAGTGATGTCTTGACATTTTTCTGTGTGTGAATAGACAGTATTTTGATTGCGAAGTGTTGAAAGTTCATACTTTTGTATTGTGGATGTCTTTTGAGTTGACCATGACTTGTTAACATATGCGTAACTTGGTGCAGTAGAAATATCCCCATGGAAAATACGAGCTCCTCTTTGGCAACAGTTTCTGTACTGTATCTCAGGTTTTCTTAATTATTCACTTGTGTAACTATTTAAATATATTTCTGATGTCGGTTGTTAATTGTGCTAAAAGTGAAAACTGAAAGATAAGCTTATGGGTAGTTTTCCTAGTTATGTAAACATAAAGAACCACCCGGAACTAAATCATGGAGACTAATAGGGCTCCTACATGTTTGGTATACGTGAGAGTTTTACCTAGACCAGTAAATTTGTGCGCTTTTTTCCTGAACGTCGCGGCTGAAATGGTTACGAACAAAATAAAAGGCTTCAGATTTTTTTAGCGTACGGATTTGCGGTTGATCGTTTAGACTTTTCAAACCTGTGAGCGATTTTTTGACAGATTATATAAAATAGTTGATGATTGAAGTCAGCATAGTTCGAATTGTTGTCTTCCGCCAGCGACATTGCCTGGAGCTTCAGCTGATAATGCCTCAGAAGTGCACTTGCAAATTAGGGATAGTTTTTACGAGTATTGGCATAGGAGAATATTGAAGTGAATTGTGTGATTAAGAAGTGCACGTCGAAGATGATCTGACAGCGGACAGGCAGCGAATACTTAGGGGCCCGCGCTGTTATTTTTAATTAAAACTCGCAATAGACCAAGTTTCAATAAAAGAATAATCCTTGTAAATCTATCATTAAATAGAAGTTTAAATAGAAATCTAACAATATACACTGTTTTCACGCATTCTTCAGTTTTTCAAAAAAAGGAGCACAACACTTTCTGCCAATAATCATGAAATGAATGTGAATAATTTCTTGTTATTTACACGAGTATTTGTGCGCGTAAACCCGTACCTTGGTAGAATTTCGTCAATCCTACGCCTGTGAAATTACCTGCGTTCTGCACGAGACTGTGAATGAGGTGAGATCAAACCAGGCGTGTGTGAGCGTCCTCTGGATGCTGTGACGCGCTAATCCGGACACCTGCCGCGTATGCCGGACGTGTTTGGCGAGACGTGGCCGGGCGTTTTCGACTGGTTCGGCCCTTGCCCGAAAGTTGTCTTCCAGCCGGAGCGCGAGCTCGCTTGACGAGAGCTTGGCGTGTGATGCGTGGCGTGGTTTGCGTTCGCAGGCGTCGGCGGCGCTGCCCATCTGCAGCGAGTGCCTGGGCACGGCGTCGCGCAACCGCCAGGGCCGCGCGGAGGCGCTGAGCGCGTGCGCCGGCTGCGGCGCGCGCGTGCACCTGAGCTGCGTGCCGGGCGGCCGCGGCGACTGCCTGGGGGCGCAGCTGGCGCTGGGCGCCGTGTGGCGCTGCGAGGAGTGCGTCGTGTGCCAGGCGTGCCACCGCCCCTCCGACCAGGTGAGCTCCGTTCACTCTTGGCCTGCAACCCGGCAACAGGGAGGGACATTTGGGAAGATGTTTTATTGATTTCAGAAAGTCGTGTGGTGTCATTCGAGCGCAGTGAACTCCCTTGACGTGAACAAAATTTAGGTCTCGGCAAGGAGACAGTATTATGAATGTATTTTATACATGCATTTACACATGTCAGGTTCTTGTAGCTCAAACATCGGTTAATTCTGCTCCTTGTAATTCGTGTTAGGGAGGGTGTACGGGATTGCGTACAAAGCGGGTAAGAGCAGAGCGGGTAAGCGGTTAATGCGCACGAATTCTAGGAAGATCCCAATATAGAGGCCGATACATGGGCACCTTGGACGCGGCGACTTCCGGACAGTCTGTTAATTGTAGATTGTAATAGATCACGAATATTCAGAATCTTTCCTAACTTGTTGATTGTAATTTTGTATCAAATACTTTAGTGAGCTAAACTGTGTTATCTTAAAAATCGCCAAGTAAATTGTAAATTACAGTATAAACAACGGAATTTATTCCCCTGATTTGTCTCCATTTTGCAACCTTTGTGAAGTGATATTTTCAGGATTTCAGATATCGCCGTTAGGGACATGCAGATGAATATAGAGATTGTTATAAGAAGGGACCGCTTTGACAGCTACGACTTAGCTACTGCGGACAACTTACCTGTGGGTTATGTCAAAGCACTCAATTCGTCAATGCATTCGTTTAGTTAACGGTCAGAAAATGGTTTTTATCACCATGTCTTGCAAAGCCATTACTCAACATGACATTAGTTTTCCGACCTGACAAACTGCTCCCTTCTTAGAGTTAGTCTTCTCTATATAGTCGTGTTTTGTAAAATGTGGCTCTCGACGAGAGCAGTCCGCGATGTTTCCACGTAGTTTTGCGCGAACGGTAGAGCGTCGGCCGTGCGCGGCGTCGCGCGCGCAGGCGAAGGCAGGGCCGGGCCCGGGCCGCGCCTCGCCTCGCTCGGTGTCGCCGCGCGCCTCGCCTGCGCCTGCGCCTCGCCTCGCCTCGCGCCGGTGGCCTGGGCCCGGAGGGCGTCCGCCTGACGACACGCGCGCGGGCCGGCGCCCTGCGCTGCCGCCGCGCAAGTCCGTGCCTGCTGTGCTGCGCGGCTGCGAGCGCTGCTTCCACCTGGAATGCTGGACCCGCCCGCCGAGCGCGCGCCCCAAGGCGCCGTGGCGCTGGGCACTGGGGCTGCGTGGGCGGCCGCCCGCCGCCTGCCACCCCCGTCACGCCCGCCGCCTCGGAGACCCCCGCCACGTCAGCGACGCGCACTCCCGTACGCAGACGCCTTCCTCCGCCGACTGCCTCCCGCAAGAAGTTCTCGCAAAGCTCCGCGGACAAGGGCGCGCGACCCCAAGAACTACAGGTGGTGGGCGTGGGGACATCATTATCGACCAAGATTATTTGTTTTTTTCCAGCGATTTGGTGTCGGCGATTTTTTTCTTCTTCTGAGGGTCATGTGGCAATTTTAGAGATGAATAGCTAAACGACTTAGTGTCAGAGCATGTTGATCCACTTGTGGGATTAGCATTGTTTTTTTGAAAAGGGGTGGTATTTTTTGAGCTTCGAATCCCTTGGTTCGCGAAAATGTGTGTTGTTAACACAGGAAAATGTATAGGTTAGGTGGTAATTTGCTCTGGGAGGGAGTATAGACGCAGTTTAGAATAATCTGGAGATGTGTTTAATGGGATTTTTCAGGAAAGTAGGGTGTTCCCTGAAATCTGTTTTTGAATAATTTTGGTGATTAGGACAAACCAGCCAAAACTGCAAATGCGACAGTTGTATACCACTCGGAACTATGCAACGGTTTTGTTTCTTAGCATACAACGGAATATCGTATTGGGCAGAGGAAGTGCTGTAAAATTTTCGGCTTGATTCGAGAACTTGGTCCGACTGAGAAATCTCTTTCAACAACATACACTTCATTTCTGAAATCTTTCAATACTCAGACCGCACATTATTTTTAATATAATACACATTGAAAGCAGCGAAATGGAGAAAAGACAAACATTGCAGATTATTTATTCCTGCAAGAATTTTATTTTCCTGAAAGCATGTTTGATCTACTAATATCAGATCGGAATCATGGCGCCACTATTAAATTAATTTCTTATAAAGATATACGTATGCTTGGGCTTTAAATATCTCACTTTGCTGTTGGTATTAAATCTCCTTAACTAGTTCTGCTGTAAAATGTAAGTACGAAAATTTAAGGGACGTGAGTCTGTGAAACTTTTCGATGTTGTTAAGTAGCAGGTTGTATGGCGGGAGGTACAGATTTAAGCTAAGAGTTGTAGACAGAAACCACGTCTCCGGAAGTCTATATATAAATGGAATGTTTCTCTCCCTCTGCAATTACATTCATGCTAGTACACGCATCGTGTGTGAACGACCCGGCTTGAACTGGCTCTGCAACGGTTGATTGCGGCGGTTGTCCCGCGGCTTCTAGCTGGCGTGGGCCGCTCAAGGACTCGTCGTCGCCGGCCGCGCAAGTTAAGCAAGCAGCAGGGAGCGACGGCGCAGGACGCCGGCGATGCGGACTGCGACGGCGACGGGCGCCGGCGACGCCCCAGACGCCCGCCGGGCGTCCTCACTCGCACCACCGGCAACGCGAACGCCGCACGCGTCAAGACACGGGCGCGCGCCGGCGAACGAGTGGTGGCGGGGACGACCAGCTCCTCCGAACGAGGGTAAATGCTCGCGACGCCACCGCGGCCCCCACTCACAAGCCCACACGCCCGCCGCCACCGCGATCGCCGTCCTGTCCGGCCCCGCTTCCCACCCGCCGGTGGGCGGTCGAACGGTCCGCGAGCAGGACGAGGGACGAGCGATGACGACGAACAGACTGGACCTAGGTACGATGACAGCGACATGGAAGAGTCGGCTCTTGCTCCTACAGAGAAGCAGGAAGTTGTTAGGAGCCGGCGCACCGCGCTCACACGGTGGCGTTCGACGGTGTGTCGATCATAAGAGACGGTTTGTCGCGTTTGGAGTGGCTGACCTTAAGTGCAGCGCGGCTCTCTTACGCGGTAAGACACGGCACATAGTGCTCGAGACGCCGAGCGAAAAACGCGACACAAGCGTCCTCTGTCTTGCCCTTTCGAAGCCGGTCTCTTGCCGCTCTGCGCAGGTCCGTGGACGACAGCACGTCTCCACTGGGCACATGTCGCCTCTCAGTTCACTCCAACGCCAGGGTACCCCTCCCGGGCTCGATCTCGCGGCGTCGGCTCCCAAGCTTTCCCGCGTTGCGGGCCTCCCTACGTTCCCTGCGCGGCGGCTATCGGCCGACCGCGCTCCCACCGCCGGTGGGGTCGGGCAAGGGTGGTCGTCGGGCAGGCTGGCGAGCCGGCGGGCGAGGTTCCGGCTCGCGGCTCGGGAGGTGTGTTCGGAACGTGCGGGCCCCGCTGCGAGGGCGACGGTCGCCGCTCCGGGCCCGAGGAGCACTGTTGCCGCGAGCGGCGGTGCCTCGCACGGCCGACCGACGGACGCTAGTGCTGTCGGCTCGCCTGCTCCCCGTGCCGACTGGCCGCACCCGCTCCCGGTTCCCTGGGTGTCGGCGCCCGTTCCCGTCCCCGTCGCGCGCCGCCTACGACCCCTTGGACGCCGTGCGCCGCGCCCCGCCGACTCTGTCCGGCTGGCCGGCGGTGAGGCGCCTCCGCGCGGCGCCGGCCTCTGCTCGGAGGGCGCTGCGCCGCCGAGACAGAACTCGACCCGGACGGACTAGCCGCCGGAGTCGACCAGTCCGCGCGGCCGAGAGTACGTGCTCGTGCCACCTCTTGCGCAGCGCCGTACACCGCACGCACGCAGCTCCTTCGAGCGAGCCACCCCTGTTCGGTCCGACGCGGAGCTCGAGTAGAGACCAGCTAGTACGGACAGACGAAGCGAGAGGCGACGCGAAAGTGGCTCGAAGCGCGGCTACTGTCTCAGAGAGCCGCACGCAGATAATGTCTCAGCAGGCGCAGAGAGCGAGTACGTTCGAGTAGTACGGCAGAGCAGCGAGGCAGCGCGCCGACTCCGAAGTAACCTCATCAGACTATACGTTTGCCAGCGCGAGCTGACGACCACGAAGGCAGATTACGAGCCAGGGATGGACCTGCAGGGGGCGGCGGCAGAACGACGAGGAGGTCGAGAGCGCCAAGGCGCTGTGTATCGGCTCGCTGTGATTCTCACAGTACTCTCTCTAGGATCTCGCGTAGGCAAGTCGCCCAACCACACCTCCCTCGGCCAGTGCGAGAAACGTCGGAAGATTACAGCGTACGGAAAAAGGGCACGTCCTTCCACTAAGGGGTACTCTCGCGGGGGTCTCCGGCGTGTCCAAGCAAGGGCCAACGCTCTGGGGCGGGGAGGGCCCTCCACACTACCATCGCTTGTACGGCCAGCGACCTACGTCCACACGCCTGTGCCGCGACGAGCCGCGATCTAGCCACTGGCGCGGGCGCAGACCTGAGCGCAGACACGGCGCTGCCTCATATAGTACACAGCAGCCGCGAGCACGGGGAAAGCACTGCTCAGCAGCGTCGGTCGACCCCGCCTACACGAAACATAGGCTCATCGTACACCCCACGCACTTAGCGCGGCCCAGTCCAGCCGGCTTCGGCAGGCGCGCGGCCTCTTCGACGGCCTCAGCCAACCTCTTTCAGACGCCCGCCCGACCACAACCGTCCCCCGGCGCGCCGCCGCGTCGAACTACGATGCCTCACGCGCGCAAGAAGGACGCGCCTCCCTCGCACGTCACGGCGTCCTCTGGCTCTGGCGCCGATTCGCTTCCAGGCGACTGGGACTCCGGTCCCGGCGCGCCACCGGGCGCTGCCGTCTCCGCTCAACCGCCGACCCCGACCCCGCCCCCGACCGGACCCGATCCCCCCGCCGGCAAAAGGCAGCACGTTGCCGAATACTCAGGTCTCGCGAAGGGTAAGAGTCAAGCGAAGCGAAGACGAGAGGGCAAGGGGGGTGCCGTCGGCGAGATAAGCAAGTCG